TTAATCCCAGCACTCGGGAGGCAGAGCCAGGCAGATCTCTGTGAGTTCGAGGCCAGCCTGGGCTACCAAGTGAGCTCCAGGAAAGGCGCAAAGCTATACAGAGAAACCCTGTCTCGAAAAAACCAAAAAAAAAAAAAGGAAAAAAAGAAAGCACTAGGCCCTGGTATGGGAGGCAGGGAGATGACCCATTCAGTGAAATATCCAGTCTGTGTTGTGTTCCTCATCAGTAGCTAGTAAGGCACCCAGCACAAGTGTTCAGTAAGCCAACAGGAAAGCACAAGTATGTTCCTGGCCTAATTTGATACATTAACAGATGAGTATAGATTAAATCCTGGAAAAGCCAGGCGGTGCCCCCCCCACACACACACACCTTTAATCCCAGCACTAGGGAGGCAGAGGCAGGCGGATCTCTGTGAGTTCGAGGCCCGCCTGGGCTACAGAGTGAGTTCCAGGAAAGGCGCAAAGCTACACAGAGAAACTCTGCCTTGAAATAAATCAAGCAAGCAAGCAAACCCTGGAAAGAAGCCTAATACCCATTTTTCTACATTATTCTAAAATTTTTCTTCTTATATGAAAATACCATGATACCCATCACTAAAGAGAAACTATTTTGCTTAAACAATTTTCCCTTTTTTAATAACTCAAAATCTGCTGGGTGGTGGTGGCATACACCTTTAATCTCAGCAATCAGAATTAATCGGGGGCTGGCCTGGTCTACAAAGCTCCCACTTTTGAAGTCTTCCTTCTACGCTACCCCCTACTCAGTCCTGATTCTGACCTGAGAGAGACTAATTAGCAATCTTGTTCTCATAGCATACTGTGATATCTGCACTGGAGTCTTTTCCAGGCTACAGTATGTCTAGTTTTTCCAATCATTCCTTATATTACAAAATTGAGTTCATTTTCTATCTTTTCCCACCTTAATTAGTTCCACCACATTTTCCTGGATAAATTCTTGTTAGCAGTGGCCCTTAGAAAAGTGGTACCCAGAACTTTACACTGTACTTTGGGGGGGGGATTGTCAGTGGTGGAGCACCCCACTTACTCACATTCATTCAATAGGCAGTCACATGAGCATGATATAAGATTCACAAGCTGGTGAGTCTCAGATGTCTGTAGAATGGTTTTAATGTGTGAACTTGAGAAAGAGCACACTGTTACAGGCTTCCTGCATTTTCCCAAGCATATAATATTACACGGTCCTTTCACTGGGGTTCGCTTCATATGCCAAGCCTCTCTTAAAACCTGGGATCCCAGCCAGGCAGTGATGGCACACACCTTTAATCGAAGCACTCAGGAGGCAGAGGCAGGGGGATCTCTAAGTTTGAGGCCACCCTGGTCTACAGAGCAAGTTCCAGGACAGCCAAGGCTACAAAGAGAAATCCTGTCCCAAAGTCAAACAAAAAAAACTGGGATTCTTGTTAAACCTCCATCCACTGGTCAAAATTCATTAATTTTAGTAGAAGGGACCTTGTTCACAAATAAAGGAAATAAGCTTTAAAATTTTACTTAAAAAAAAAAAAGGCAATGGAAGTATTAGGTTTAAAAGGGAAGGCCCCCAGGTTAATCTAAGTATAATACTATATTCCTCCCACAATATTTTTCAAGTCTGCATTCTAAGGAAAAACAAAACTAGAAACCCTGGCGCAGTCACTTCTCCACTCTTCTTTACACAGTTAGTAAGGGATGTGGACCATGGCTGCTCCAACACCGTGAAACAAGCTAACTCATCCTCGATGCAAGAAATTCTAAAACATTATAAAAACTGAAAAACACATGTTACATGGTCAGTGTTTTTCTAACCTCCTTCATGTTTCCTTGTTGGCTAACAGACACGCCAAATAGTTTTTATGCTTTAATCAGCTGTTTTAAATACTCAAGTACTGACTAGTAAAACATTACCAACCTTGAGCAACATTTATACTACAGTACTTTGAAAAAAATGTAATGGCTGCATCTGTTTAATGTTAGCATCATAAGAAATGTATGTATAATTTCACGACCCTGGAAAAGGTCCCAATGCTGAAGGGGCATACATGGGAAACTGGCCCTAAACTACACCGTGGTATCTGCACAGCAGTTACATCATGAGTCACCACGGAACCAGGCTAGCCAGACTGAAGTTCTTTTTCACATTCCTGCCTCCCATTTCCTAAGCAGACAGGAAGTGACAGCGTCTTGTTAAAGAGGGCAGTAGCTCAAGGCAGTTATGGCCTAGAATTCTTTACTCATTCATCAAGTCCTGCTTCTACTTTCATTCAGCATGTACATGAAAATCCAAACTTGACATGACTACAATTAATGCCAGGAGTGGAGCTGCTGTAACCATAAACCCCAAGCCATACAGAGAGGTAAGTAAATCTCTAACCTTGTCTCCAAATGACACCTCACATACAAAGAAATAAAAATTTGCCTTACAAAAGACCAAATTTGAAGACATTTGGCACTTAATTTATATTATATCCAGAAAATAAGGAGACATAAAAGAGGGGGGGGGGGACTCTTAATAATTAATAAGCAGTCATTTAATGAATGGTCCTACCTTAGCAGGTATTCCAAGAAGCACTATTCATTCCCTCAGAAAAAGAGGGCAAGAAAGTTTCCAAAGCATAGATACCTTTGTACAGTGTTATGGTGTATGTAATAGGAGGAAAAACCATTGGTCAGATCCTAAGAAGCTGAGAGCAGGAGATGCAGCTCGATGGTAGAGTGCTAGAAGGTCCTGAGTTCAAGTCCTACACTACTACCGCTAATAGTGAATTCATTTTAAGGGTCTAAGTTCAAAACACTTACTTTTAAAATACAGTTGACAAAAAAAAAAACCAGACGCTAGATTAAAGGCGGTAGTGGTGCACTCCTTTGATCCCAGTACTCAGGAGGCAGAGGCAGGAGGATCTCTGAGTTCGAGGCCAGCCTGGTCTACAGAGCTCCAGGACAGCCAGGGCTATTATACAGAGAAATCTTGTGTGGGGGGGCCCAACCACCACCACCACCACTACCATCACCACCACCACCAACAACAACAAAAAAAAAAACCAGGCAGGAATTTTACGTTTTCTGTAGCTTTAACATAGCTTCAAAATTAATCAGCCATTCAACTTCATCCTTCAGAGAACAAGGCCCAGCCCAGTTCTGTTAATAGGTATCTGTGCATAGAAATTCATTCATGACGCAAGGTGGTGGTGCACGCTGCCTTTAATCCCAGCGCTTGGAAGGCAGGCGCAGGCGGATCTCTGTGAGTTCAAGGCCAGCCTGATCTACAGAGTGAGTTCTAGGACAGCTAAGGCTACACAGAAAAACCCTGTCTCAAAGAAAAAAAAAAAGGAAATTCACCCCAGCCTCTCACACTTCCTAGAAATACCTCCTCCGAACATTTCACAGTTACACACTTCAAGAGCAGGAAAATACAAAAGCTCTCTGCTCAGTGGCCACTACTTTTAAAAAAAAAAAAAACAAACTGGATTTCACTATGCAGCCTTGGCTACTGGAACTGGCTATGTAGACCAGACTGATCTCTCTCTCTCTGTCTCTCTCTCTCTCTCTCTCTCTCTCTCTCTCTCTCTCTCTCTCTCTC